AAAATCTTTAAAAAAAAAAAAGGAGAATCCGAGTCTTCCCCGTGGTACAGGAGACACAGAAATGGCAGAACGGTGTGGATCAGGTAGGAATAAATGACAGCTATACCTTGGTATGTCCAAATTTATACTGGGTGTGATCAATATCAATAGAGGCAAGAAGTTTCTCAGAAGCCTTCTTGCTGTCGATGAACTGTCCTTCTGGAATAGCACTTGCATTTAAAACTTTGTATCTGTTCAGTCAAACAAAGAAAAGAATGATTAGGGCCGTATGATTATATGGGGAAACCAAATGACCCCAAAAATCTGAGAGAAAAAGTAAAAGTAGAAAATCCAGCTGTCCTTTAAGTTCAGATAGTAAAACAGTATGATTTTTCTGTAGTCTAATGCATGTGTCCTTCCTATTTGTAAGAAATACCACCTCTTCGAACTATTACCCTGTCCTGCTACCACAAGACTATATTATTTGACTTCTTAATTTTACAGTATTTACCAAACAGGGCACATGAAGTGTGATGAACAGAGGACAACAATTAAGATGATAAAATGTTCACACCATTCAGTGAAATACAACAAAGAGAGACTGGCCTTTGTTTAAAATCCCCATAAAGGATCCTGCTTGGGAACCCCTTCCTGCAGATGCGGATCCCTTCCAGCACACCGTTACACCGCAGCTGGTGCAGGACAAGTTCATGCTCCATGGCCCCTGAGAGGAAGAATGCATGCCTTATTTCATGGTCTAAAGCAAACACCCTGGAGCTTGTTTGGGCATCAGAAGGGTCTTACCTGGAGTCTTGGTTTCATTGGGGATAATGCACCGTACAAAGTGGGGGTGAGTGCTCCTCAGGTTGGTCATTAGTTTATTTAGATTTTCCTAGAAAACCAGACAGAAGGGACTTGATGAGAAAGTTTTATCTCAGATTGCTTTTTTGTAATTATTTGGAGTGAACCTAGGCACTCCTTTAACTGTTAGGTATAAGCCTCTGAGGCTTCAGTTGCTCTGTATTTTTAAGGTCTCCAGAGTTCTAGCCTGCCAAATAACCACAAGGCCAAAGTGCTGGGAAGAAATGCAGCTCTCCAAGGTATTCATTTATAACAACTAGGATCTATTCTATAAACAAACTGCAAATCTCGTAGCCTTAATGCACAGGAATTGTTCTCAACTGGGAATTAGAAGACAAAAGACTGTGGTCTCATTCTGCCACTAATGAGCTGCTTGACTCTGTAAAATCCCATTCGTCTCTCTGGGCCTTAATCTGAAAAGAGTTGAGATTACCTCTAAAGCCTCTTCCATCTGTCTCAGTGCTAGTAATTTTCACAGTTGTAGTTTACACTGGGAACCTAGGTTAGCCCTTGTCCCACCTTTGCTGTTCCTTCCTCGAGGTTATTATTATTCCTGGGACCTGTGACTTCTTGTTTGTACTGTTTTCCTTTTTTTTTTTGAAGAGTCTAAAATCATGCTACTACATAATCTTGTGTGGGTGGATCTTGGGTGCCTGGGAATGATCCACAGCCTGAAGCATCTGGGGGGCGTTATTCCAGAAATAGAGTAGTTGCTTATGACCGATGATGTTGTTTTACTCATTTGTAGAAAACTCACATGTAAATATTTCTCAATATTTCTTAGGTATAGTCTTTGGGAAGGCAGAGTTGCTTTTTTTTTCTTTCTTTCATATCTCAGTTAACTATTAGGAAACAAAATAAGTACTGTGGTCTTCTAATCTTGAAGACATGTACAAGGATAAGTTGATGAAGCAAGAGCCTACTTGGTGAGATAATGCAAATTGGTAGTGAGAAAGAAAAAGAACAGGCCAGTTTTCCTGTTTCAGTCACAGGTTATATCCTTTAAAAGGAATGAGACTTAGCCATACAGATTCTGACAAAGCAGCTGTGAGTCTAGACATTTCACACACTTCCCTTTGGAAGAGTCCGTTGTTAAGCTACCTAACAAAATCACATGATTTGTAGTAAAATTATTTGTTATTTTAATCTTAAGAGATATTTTCTAGCTCAATCATTCATGTAAATCACTAGGCTTGATTTTAGATGATTTTCAGCCATTACAAAAAATTACATCCTCCTCAGAGGACAGAGATGTGTATTGAGGGAAGGATGTGCTAAAGAGTATGTCTTTAAAGAGGAACTCAGGAGCATTCTCAAAGGGCAACATTAGTAGAATAAAGATAACAGCTTTCCTTAGGGACAGCTTTGAAGTTCGGCTATGCTTCTTTAAAAATCAGCCTAATTACATAGTAAGAAAGCTTCTAATGATATTTTGGCATTCCTGAACACATCAGATGATCATAATGAAGAATAATGGGTAGAGCATCTCACCCTGTAAGAGAAGTGTTGCTTGGTTCTACCATGATAAGAGTGAATATTTGAACATTCTGTTCTCTCCTAATTTATTCTAAACCCTGTAATTATGATAATTCATAGAAACCGAATAGAGTTTTTGGGTGAAATTTGTACTTTACCCTGAAAAGGGCTGACACAGTCTGGAACGAAGAGCCCTTCTTCTTAGCGCCTTTCTTTGCGCCACTATCTGAGGTAGAAAGAAAAACCCATCAGTTAGAGCAGAATCCTAGAGGCTGGAATGTTATCTGAACATTTTGTGGGAATGGGCTTGATTTAGATTAAGGGCACAGAAAGTACCTGCTTCAGCACTAGCGTAGGTGGAAAAGAGACTGGCCAGAGTCTTCATCGCAGACTTCTGGTACAGCCCGACCACGGTCTCATTCAGGGGGTCCTTGTTCTTGTCCAGCCAGCCACCAATGTTGTAGTCCACGGTGCCGGCGTAGTGGATCAGAGAGAAGTGCGCCTCAGGCTTGCCTTTTACAACCTTGGGCTTCTGGAAGTTGGCCGACTTGCCCAGGTGTTGGTCATACAGCTTGTTCTTGAAGGAGGTGTCTGTGGCCTTGGGGAACATGCACTCCTCTTCCAGGATAGAGAAGATGCCCAGTGGCTGAATTCAGAAAGGTGGACATTAGCCTCAACGTATCTTTCCCAAAAGATGCAAACATGGTGGCTGTATTTGTATCTGATTGAATGATCAGAACTGCCAAGTAAATATGTATATAAAGTAAACCAGGGTCATAGCTCACAAAGAAATCCTTTTGTTATCACTGGAGTGACTTTCCCACCATTCCTTGTCATATCCAGTCCATAGCAACACTTTCAGTTAAAAGAATGGCAGAATACAAACTTCAAATGTCAGTCAGCACAACATGTGTGGGCAGTTTGTTAAAGTGTTCTGTATTATCACACTTTTTGCCTATTTATTAAATTAATCTACTGTCACTATTTTATTTTATTATGAAAAGGATTTACTGACTTAAGAGTGATATTTACTTTATATGCAGTAGTTTAGTAGTATACATATTCCAAACTTATTTAAACATTTTCTGTATTTAATCTCCTTAAAGTTGGATTATGGAAAAGCGTAAGCAATTAGACTTCTTGACTTCCATACAGATTATCTTTCATAGAGGTCCTAGCTGGGTTACATGTGTACTAATTTTTATCTAGAAAAGAGATTTATTTATGTGGCTGACGTCTTGGATCATAATGGAGATAGATTCAGAACTAGTGAGGTAGTTCTGCTGGTGGAGCAGATCGTCTCAATTGAGTTTTCAGTGCTGCTTTAAAATCAGATTTGAGTTGCTGTTAGAACAAAACTGGCTAGAACAGAATGAAACTAAACACTCTGATCCTCCTTATGTAGAAGTTGAAAAGAGGAAGTTAGTTTTAAACAGTAATTCTATTTGTTCTGATACCCGTCTATCTAAGGTCACAGTGATACTTTCTAGAATTGCTTCAGACACTTGGGAAAGTTATCCTTGCAGCCTGCCTTTCTTTAGAAGTCAAACAGACTGGGGTGCCAGGGCGGCTCTGTTGGTTAAGTGTACGATTCTTGATTTCAGCTCAGGTTTTGGTCTTAGGATTGTAAATTCAAGCCCTGAGTTGGGCTGCATGCTGGGCATGGAGCCTACTTAACAAAACAGATAAGAAAGTCAAACAGACCGGGGCGCCTGGGTGGCTCAGTTGGTTAAGCGACTGCCTTCAGCTCAGGTCATGATCCTGGAGTCCCTGGATCGAGTCCCGCATCGGGCTCCCTGCTTGGCAGGGAGTCTGCTTCTCCCTCTGACCCTCCTCCCTCTCATGCTCTCTGTCTCTCATTCTCTCTCTCTCAAATAAAT